TTTCAAATTACATTTTTAATTAGGGAGTAATTTCACAAGGAGTGGATGATTTCCCTTTTGCGTTGTCGTATTCATTGCCCTTAGTAGATGACGCCTCGATGAAGAAATATTTATGTATCGACATGCTATTAGAGTCAAATTTCAGTTTAATTATTTTCATGCTCGAATGCATACAAATAGAAACATACCGACTTAAAACACTTATCGCTGTAGATTTCACGTTGATTGTTTTAATTTGATTTGTTTATTTCTTTTTTAAGGTAATATTGTGTTTGATTAGTGGTTATTGTCATTGTTAATCGATTGTTAGGCGCCAACTGAAAATTACTTAGTTATTCTTACATTACTTTAAGAATTTAGATATTAAGGTTGAATAAATACGATTAATTTTTCCTTTTTTTGAGTGTTTTGGGCGGTTTATTTGTTTTTGTTAATTTTTGATTAAGTACTTTTTAAATAGATATAATAAATCACACCTATTTTCCCTCCCTTAGGTTAGGATTTTTATTTCAAACTTATATGGCACCAACTTCGAGGTACTCCCTATTCAAATAAAAGAAAAATTATCTTAATCGGACAACTCAGTGAAAGTTACACGTGAACTGAAAAACCTCCGTTTTTTCGTCGGTTTAAAATATATCACGTTGTATCACCTGGCATGTATTGAAGCCTGTTGAAGCGTAAATGACACAAGATACCTCTTATTCCTAAATGAAGTTTAAAGTGTACGAGTTATTGCATTGTCTTGATAGAAGCAACTCGACAACAGCTATCACCACATTACAAAATAAGCGACTCCTTCCAGGCACTCACGTTACGCAGAGCTTTACTAATAGCATTATTTGTCAAATGGGACGTGATCAAAAAATTTTTAATTATATAGATGTCTATATACATGTACCTACTACATATTAGTAAAGTAAATAATTAATTAGGTTATAATATTTTAAAATATAAAAATGTATATAAAACATATTTCATATAATATATGTACCTACAAATATTACTCTGTAGAACAAGCTCTTCATGTATTTCTACATGTATTTCTTTAATGACGGTCACTAAACCTAAAAGTTTCTTTTAACTTCAACACTCTAAATTACAATCTCTTTTTCCAGCTTAAAGGCGTCTTTTTATGCGCTGAGGGCGAATGTTATCACAGTTGTCTTATCTAAATTACCATTAAGGTAACCTTTTTACGAGCCCTTCTGACAATATCGCACAATTCATAACTAAATATAAAACCGGGAAAAATACTGTTGATAATATCATTCGATAGTCAAATTCATTAATACTATAACATTTTTTTTATAATTTAATTTAGCAACGTTAATCAAATGTAATAAAACAATCATTAAATTTTTATGAAATCAGTTCAATTATCATTAAATAATATTTTATATTTCGATACGATTTAAATTCTGAAAGATTCAAGATGACTAAACGACAAAATATTTTTATTAAAATTTCTTAAATAAGCGTGCCTAGACTATAATAATTTGCTCAGAGGTAACCAGAAGACAACAAAGCTAAAAGAGTACCAGGGTAATATTTTGCGTCCAGCGATAAAGCAGAATGGCTAGTGAGATGAGAAATAAAATAAAGCTAACGGAGTATATTTGAAATAAAATTTCATAACCCATACAACAAGTAGCTTGATGCGATGAATATAAAAAACGGTTACCGCAGTGTAATATTCGGCGGCAAATTGCGGGCCTTGCTCTATAAATATATTAACCTTAGCCTCTCGATATATATATGAAAATGTTATGTATGTGCGTAGAAATATTAATAATTTTGATAAGAATACTGATATACATAATGTGAACACTAGGAACAAACACAAGCTTGTAATGCCAGTTACTAGACTCCATAGAGTAAGTAACTCGTTCATGGGGCGGTGTATACGCTTTTACAACAAAATCCCAGTAAATGCGCAAAACCTGCCTATTAACAGGTTTAAGAAATTTATTAAAGAAAAACTTTATAAAAAGGGTTATTATAATACAAATGAATACATTAATGACAATAACCCCTGGGAATGAGTTGATCGCTCCCAAGCTATTTCTAAAAGGAAAAAAATCAATTGTATAATATTTGAATTTTTTGTTAAGAAAAAAAATGAATTACAAAAAAGAGGATACCTACGGAGTTTCTTTCGCCTGTTTCTTCTCCGCTAGAGGAACCTCATTACAAAACGGTGGTAGATTAAAAAAAAAATATGACTATTGACAAATGAAATGTAAGTTTCTTATATCGATGAATAAATGATTTTGAGTTTTTGATTTTGCTCCTTATTAATATTGACTTCAAATTTCGTTATTTTTTAGTGCACAAGAGGTTTTCAAAGAAAGCGTCGATACGTTTACTAAGTGATGTGCTTTGAAAAACATGCAACAGGTTATGGTATCAGTTCTTCTTTAGGAAACTCTCAAAACAAAATTGTGAGTTAACAACATTTTCGAAGAACTTGTCAAATCAATTCGCTTCAATATTTATTTTAAAGCTTAAAACTTACACTTGCGTTGAATGTTTTTCTAAATCCTTAGAACTAAGTTTGTGTTTATTGAAAAATAGATTCTTCTAGTGTCTATACAAATGGCTTTATATAATAATTGAATAGTAGCGTCGTGATTAGGATTTCTGTGATTTACACGATATTAACTTTCAGTGGATTTCTGATGTACTAAGCAAAAGCTTTAAGTTATGAGTAAACTTTGGACTACATTTAAACTCTGTTAAATAATTTAATGAGACTCTCTTACTGATGTTAATTTATTTATTTATTTATTTATTTATACTTTATACACAAACTGTACAAAGGCGGACTGAATGCCACAGGCATTATCTCCCAGTCAACCTTGGGGTGGTACAGAGATGATTCGGTAGGTGCACAGAAAGATGTGAAAAAAATAAAATAAAAAAAAGAAAGCACTGTTAAAATATAAACTGTTGTAAATAAATGTATATGCACATGTTAATTATAGTACAAATATAATAAATACTACTAGGTATATGTACATACATAGGGTAAACTTTGGACTACATTTAAACTGTGATAAATAATTTAATGAGACTCTTTTACTGATGTTAATTCACTTAATTTAAAACTTTACATAGCCTCCACCTATTATATCGGATTAGGTAAACAAATAATCCTTGTAAACCAACACCAATTATTATCAACGGTGATTCGTGAGGCTATTTAGACTAAAACCAAAAAATCTAAATTTTAATAGAGTCAACGTGACGGTTAGGTACTCAACTTCAACTTTTACCTTTCTCTATATATAAAAATGAATCGCGGAATGTATTGCTAAGCGCAAATCTCGAGAACAGCTGAACCGATTTCACTAATTCTTTTTTTTATAATATTTCTTGAAGTAGGACGATAGTTCTTACGGAAATTTTAAAAAATTGCCTGAAGAAGTCAAAAAACAACACTTTTCTATATTCCCTAAGTAAGTACAAACGCTTTGTAATAATACTTAAAAGTCAATTTGAACTTTAATACCATACCATAAAGTTAAAGGAAGGCAAAACAAGTGAGTGTGTGTTAAAATGTAAACATCTCTTTGCTGTTCATCACTACATAGTATAAAACAAAGTCGTCCCGCTGTCTGTTTGTCCCTATGTATGATTAGATCATTAAAAGTACGCAACGGATCTTGATGCGGTTTTATCTACTAGATAGTTATTCAAGAGGAAGGTTCATGTGTTTAATACATTGCACCCGTGCGAAGCCGGGGCGGGTCGCTAGTAATAAATAAAATTAATTCTACCCCGAAAACCTACTGAAAAACTTCAATATTTCTATGTAGCTCGAACTTTGTCCGCTTTTGAATTACTAATAATAATTAGAAATATTAATATTGTTTTGATTTTAAAACTGACTGATGTGTGTGTTGTTCAGGAAAATATAAGAAATTTTTATAATAACTATACTAATAAATTTAAAAAATACTTTCATTGTAATAATTTAAGTTACAAATGACAATGGCATTAATTGTAGTGGCATAAACTAGTCATGTCCAAAAAGTAATTATATTTAAAATGTTAAATAAAAAGATAAAAAAATTTAATGAACTGAATATTTAGATTTAGCTATTTAATTAATGTGTGTATATTTAGGTACATATAGGTATTGTTTATTTTGATATTAAGCTTGTTGCTTAATATACAAATATTGGGTATAATGGGTACCTTAAAAATGTTTCTTTCCGAAAACCTGATATCAGCTTCTTAGCTAAATTTTTATTACAGGCGCATACACAAATTTACGAATGTAAGTATGAACTGCACTACAGTAATATTGGGACTTAACAAGATACTCATGTGTTTTCAAATGTTATATTTGTTTTTATTAATTTTAAAAAATAGCTTTAACCAATTCTCGCGTTTCGATTAATAAGGATTACCTGGCCCTTATAATCTTGTTAATAAATAAAAATGAATGTTGGTAATAACTCAAGAATGGCTGGACCAATCCAGCTAATTTATGTTTCGTATGTTCTTTAAGGTCCGGAAGATTTGAAGGCGACTAAAAGGAGTTAAAATGAGGTTATTGGTATTTTTCATATGTCATTTTATGCAAGTTGTATGTATCTTTAAGTCATTCTTAAGTATAAATTAGTTTTGTTTTTGATTTAATATATAAAATACGTTTTTAAGTACTTTTTAAATTTACTAGATATCAAACTTGTAGCAAACACACAATAGGAAATTTTAACAGCTATAAAGTGCTACGCCGATCCCGTAGTGAAATGGATTTACCATTACGAAAACTTTCTGGGAACGTGTTGTGTGACCAACGACCAGCAAATTGCAGACCAACTTGCAGGCTGCCAACATCGACCGTTCATTTCGAAACGACGCATTTATGATTACTAATGTTATACGATATAAATAAGATGGTTCTTAGAAGAGTGGCCGTCGCTCTAAATCGTTACGGTCGCGAAAATTTATTTATGACATTTATCTCCTTGTTACCAGCATGGTCAATGGCTCGTGATATTGATAAAAAAGCAAATAAACAGGTATTTGGTCCATAGAGACGCAAATAAATGTGCATGACATATACCACTCTAAAGTAGTAAAGTAATATCCTATACATAATTATGGCAAAGACCTCTTCTATACAGAGCGGATTAGGCCATAGAAAATATGCAGGTTTCAGCATTTAGATAAATCAGCATTTTAAATTGACAATTTTGCTGATGCTGGCAGCGGGGATCGAACTCAGGTTGCACAAGTATATTAAATTAACTCGACACTGAGCCATTGAATGAAAATGTTCGATATTAATTCCCACTTTATTTTAGCAGTCAAACCAACGTTAAGATATAAAATAAAATAAACTGTACTGATATTACTACAAGGGGCATAGTAAAATAAGATGCCATTTCAAGATACCTTCCAAATGGAGCATTATTTTATGTGTAACTTAGAAACTTAAAAACTAACAGGCTTCACGATACGATAATTCAAATTCAAAGAGTGAGAGAGGATATTAATTATAACAAAATGATGTTTTATTTATAATTCCCTCGACGATTTTCGACGATCGACATCTTTTATTCCGTTGACATTTGAAAAGAGGAAATAAATTAGAAACTTTGTTTCTTGCCTAACCCTGAATTGATGATTCAGTCGCACAGTTGCCAAGGTATTAGCTTTGGCACATGGGGTCATTTGTTCGATTCCTACACACCGGGTTGCCCCTTGTTTTAGAGGGGAAATGCCATGCAACCCCTTCCACACAAAATACAACACAATACAAATCTTTGAATTCTCATAAGAAACGCACGTACATCAATTATTTTTTCTTTTAGTGTTCCGCACCCAGAGGGTAAACCAGCTGTCTGTCTGTTTGACTGTCCGTCTATCACCAGGCTGTATCTCATGAACTCCAATAGCTACACATGATCTATTTCTATTGCCGCTATAGCAGCAAATACTACAAATTAGAAATTTATATTTAAGTGGGTCTCCCATACAACAAGTATGATTGTTCTGCTGTTTTATAGATAGTACAGAAACCTTCGCACTCGAGTCAAACTCGCACTTGGTTATATTTATATCATAAAATACTGAGAAATACATCTTATGAATTGGAATTTATATTTAAAAAATATTTAAATTACCTTGTAACTTTATAATATTTATAATTTGATCCCCAAAAGACATTTAAAAGACTTCATTTACAATTCGGCTCACTTATTAAAATGTATAATTTATACTTACGTGACCACTTCGCGCAAAAACCAGAAAATAATTAATACGCATCTCCACTCTAGACCTATATAAAGACATTGAATCACCGTTCAAAATCAGACTGTCAACTCATCAGACTCAGTTACCCACTCCAAAATGGTTGGTTCATTAAAAAAAATTTTTTAAGCAATTTCAGTTTTTTTTCTTTCACTTCAATTATTTGGCTTAAAATAATTAACGTCCGAACTACTAAAATTTTTGTGAATGTACAATTCTTTTGTGATGCTCTCATTTAACGATTTATACATATTTTTTTCTTCTAGAAATTCCTTATCGTTCTCGCCGCCGTCGCGCTGGCCAGCGCTGATGTTGCTCCGTCCTACGCTAGAACCGACGAGGCGAACGCACCTATTGTCCGCTCGGACTATGAAATCAATCCCGAGGGATCGTACCAATACGCTTACGAAACCGCAAATGGCATCACTGGCGAGGCACAGGGCACTATTAAGAACCCCAACTCCGTAAGTGACGTATAATTAAGAAAGATATACGTAGAAAAAGATTCATTTACAATAATTTAAAATTAAAAAAATTAAAAGTATTGAACGTCGTTCGTCATTTTTTTATTTTAAAAGTTTCAAAGATTCTTCTTAGTTACAGTTTTGTGTTTAATTAATTGAGAACAGTTATGTACGTTTCCCACTGTGTATGCTTCGGTGACCCTAAACGGTAAAATATTTCTGAGAGTCGCCTTGGGTTTTAATTGATTTGCAATAATTAAAATTAAACATATTTTAAGTATTAAACTGAAACATATCTTATAATAATTCATTACTTGTAACTTTGAAGTTTGAATATATATAAAGTTCATATTTATTAACAGGAAGCTGCCACCCTTGAAGTCAGAGGATCTTTCGGTTACACCGCCCCCGACGGTACCCCCGTCAGGCTCATCTACCAAGCCGACGAGAACGGTTACCGTGCTGAGGTATGACAATTAATTTGTAAAAGAGAAACACGTTAAGATAGTTCATTCACATTTCGGTTCGATAATCTACTCATGCATTTTAAATCTAAATATTCTTCTTGTAAATTTTTATTTTAGATTTTCCTCCCTTCAATTTGAATAGCCTAGTGACTGGGATGTCAGACTCGCGATTTTATCATTCAAATTTAATGATATACCTTCCTAAATTTATTTTATTTCCTATTTTTTTATTCTTACTTGACAAAAGAGGGCAAGAAATAGTACCTTTCGGTTTGGGATTACATAAACTTGGAGAAGCATAGATAAATTTAAGAAGCTCTACCTACCATGATAGAGTTAAAAGACACGTTAATGTTTTATCACGTGTAATTTTAAAATGTATGTTAAGGGGATAAAAGTAGTATTTATTTATGTGCTATGTTTATCCTGTCCTATCGTTGCAAAAAGTTTTTTTGATAGACTGCCTAGTATATTGCAGCATTATTTGGTTGAATTAGAATTCTGTTTGAATTTTTGATTATATCTCTTCTCAAGCTAACTTTTTAATTTTTTTTTCCATTTTCAACAGGGCGATTCCATCCCTGTACCCCCAGCAATACCTGAGCTGATCCTCCGCAGTTTGCAGTACATCGCTGATCACCCCCCACCAGCGGAATACTTGAAGAAGACTCAAGCCTAATCTAATATAATATATCCGATACCGACCTAGTACAAACTTGCACTGCCTGTACAGAATAGTTATTACCACTATTTTCGTTTTTGTTTTGATTGACTATAAAAGCAGAGAGAAAATGTGAAACGAAGTATACTATAGAAAATTATTCCGTCTTTTTCATTACAATCCTGCGCTAGAATTTTTAATATCACAAACTTAACATAATTTCGTTATTAAAACAAAGTAAGAACAATTTCCCAAAACAAAATTAATTAAAAAGGTCAACTAATGACAAAAAATGTGTTTGAAATGTCTTAGCATTTCAAGAAAATGAAGAGGCTAAGTATCAGTAAACGACTTAATCACTGTCTTCGACAGGATTACATGAATCAGACAATTTTCAAATAAAAAAAATATTGAAAAACATTTGGCTTATAATATTTTATAATATTTTATGCCAGACTAACTTCATTCATATAATAATGACCATAAACTTATTAGTTTCAGATTATAACCGAATTTAAATATTTTTTTGTGGGAAAAACCGGGCAAACGGGCACGAATATCACCTGATGGAAGGTGATTAATGCCACCTTATTCTATGCCACTATGTTCATAGTGCATCACCTGAGGGCTTGGATATGCATTGCCGGCCTTTCAGGAAAGAATATGCTCTCTACTTGAAGGTTCCCACGTTCGCTTAACGGTTCGGAAAGACCGCCGGCAGCAACTGGTTTCACAGAGAGTTTGTGCGAGGCGGGAAATGTTTTAAAATCGTGCTGTTATGGATCGCTGGATATCGAGATGGTGTAGATGAAATTTTTGGTTTTCTCGTGATGTCAATGTATCAAAGCAATCGGAAAGATTTTGAGCATCGCTGGCCTTACCTTGAATGCTGGAAAAAGCTCCCTGGTAATGGCGGGCGAGAGCAAAGGAGCTTTGATTTGCTAAAAACACATTGATGCTTCAATCTACTACAAATCTGGTGATCCAGTTGCATAATTTCTAGGGAAACGCATAAAAAATCATTTTGATCGGTTATGACACAAAGTCATAACCGATCAATATGATTTTTTAAATGAGATTATGACAAATGTAGACCTTAAAAGACCAGTAGGTGCTATATATTATTATATAACGCATTCCTTTGATTATGTCGATCACAATATTTTGTTATCAAATCTGTATAATTATGGTATAAGAGGAAATGTTTTGCAACTAATTATTTCACACACCTATTTCAAAAATTAATTTTAGTAATAATTGAGAAGAATAATTTAAGTCACAGGAACGCAAGATACATTATGGAGTATCACAAGGCAGTGTTTTAGGACCATGTTGTTTATCATATATATTAAGTATACTACCTGGAGGACCGAGCTTTGCTCGTTTTTTTTTTGGTAAATCATGTATTTTGGAAATAAAAAATTGAAAATAAAGAAAATGATCTGGTTTGGAAAAAAAAAAGTAAAAAATATAAGTGTGTAAATGATCGTGATACGAACCGTGGCCGTCTGTTTTGGGGCCGCCCAATTACTGACCGAGCTATTATAACATTTTTTTTTCTTCGAAATTTCATATTCGAATGATATTTTTCATTCCCTGAAAACAGGGATAAAAGGACATTTTCTAAAACTTAAACCTAGCTAGATCGATTTTTCGCCCCCGAATCTACGCACATACTAAATTTCATGAAAATCGCTGGAGCCGTTTCCGAGATTCTGATATTATATATGTATATACAAGAATTGCTCGTTTAAAGGATAAGATAACTAAAGTAACGAATTACCCCATAAAACTTTTTGTTCATGAGAGTAATAATACAATTAAAAATATTAATTTATATGAAGTAGAAATGAATAAATCAATAAAGGACATTAGAGAATGGTTAAGGATCGATAATTTAAAAATTTATTTGAAAAAAAACAAAACTTGTATGCAATTCTATTGCACTGCCAGAGTTAACAAACTTTAACATTAATTACGAGGGAAAAAACATTCAAGATACGGAAGTTACAAAATTCCTAGGTTTGGTAATTGACAAAAAATTGAATTGGCAAGAACATGTTATTCAATTAGCAAAACAAATAAACAGTTCTGCTTACGAATTATGCAAGCTATCACTCTTTAATAAATTTAAACGCATTGTTAACTGCTTATTACGGCATCGTTGATTCCAGGCTGAGATATGGCATAATATTTTGGGGAAACTCTATTCATAAAGATTCGGCTTTCAATGCTCAAAAAAGATGCATTGGTGCTACTTTCAAATTAAAGACGATGGCAAGTTGCAAAAACATTTTAAAGATAATAAAATTGCTGTATTGGTAAAAAGCAACCCCACATTATTTCCACTCTGGTCAGATGTTGCTATTCAGAACCGGCGGGACCCTTGAAGACTATGTATGCGCAGGGAAATAAAAGCACGTATGCGAAATAGCGTCTTTTGTATGGCTCTAACAATATATAACCTATCAAAATAAAGGCCTAAAATATTTTCGATTTTAAAAAGAAATTGAAGTTAATTCTTTATGACAGAATTTATTATAACCTAAGTGAATTTCTTAGACAATTTAGATGAATAATAAATGTTAATGAATATTAAACTATTAGTTATTACCCTTAGTCAATTTCCAAACTTCCCATAAAAATGAACTGAACTTTGCGCCTCAGGCGAATTAATTTATAATTCTTATAAATACAGGGAAAGAACGGTAACAGCGTACTAGGGTAACAGGGGTTTTTTTTATGTTTTTTCGTCTACGCGCATCCACAAAGCATCATTTACAGCAGGTGTACTTTATACATTAACCATTTATCAATACAACACGTGGCCAACTAAGTTGCATACCTTGTAGTTGTTTTTTATTGCCCTGCATAATTGTAGTGATCATGGCTAAAGCAAAACTAAAAGGGCTACAAAAACAAATATGCTTCTTTCAAAGCATATAGTGACCACTTTGGCTTCTGTTGGCGGTAGACTCCGCTTCGTACGTGGAAAAATGGACCTAGTGTGGTGGGTAGTTAAGAGTGATTACAATAACTGGATTCCATATACCTAAATACATGACATTACAGAGTTTTAATAACGTCTAATGTATGAATAGTTAATTTGTCAATATTTCAAATTTAATTTTAGAATATAATATAGTTGTGTAATAAAAACAAAAAGTTGTTTATGATACCGCTCTTTTTGCGACTTGGGTGCGTTCTTGTTTCCGAATACAACTCCTGTTGTGGTACCAACAGCATATCAACGACGTGGACCAGGTACCGCAACGGTGAAATCAGTAGTTTATAATACTAAATGGAAAACATCCATCATTCAAATCCGTTCTATCTTTTATACGGTAAAACCTGCAAAAATGGTGCATTTACAAATACACCATTTTTAGCTTCTATATATATTTTCGGACGTCTTGAGATGAATATGGGCGGTGGCCTTAATGAATGAGGGACCGGCCACTCTCTTTAAATAATGGAGCATTTGAGACGCTATAAGGCAGCATTTTAGCTTAATGAAGTGCCATAATTCATTTTGACGCTCCTCTTTACTAGAGAAATGGGGTGTCTTAGTGTTGGCAGACGCGGGGGTAATTAGATCTATGGGATTTTATCGATTTTCTGATAATGACCTATTTCACCTCGCGGAGGGCGTAACTTACGCAAGAGCTGGTTCATTACTTCCTTTCATTAATTTGTAATGATTCAAATACTTCCTTCAGTAATTTATTCACGTTTTCATATTTGGTCATGTATTTTGGACCCAAACCTTAAATTGTATTCTTTTTAAGGTTCTGTACCCAAAGAGTAAAACGGGATCCTTTTCCTTCTGTTACTATTTTTATTTTATTTTATGCGAAAAGTTGTCAAACGAGCAGACGGTTCACCTGATGTTAAGTGAATACCGCCGCCCATGGACATCTGCCACACGCGAGGGTTACAGATGCGTTGACAACCTTTTGAAAATTGGGCTCCGGCTACCTCACTCACCAGACGAAACGCGAAAGTATTTTTCATACTTCCACTTTACGCTGGTCTTCTGTGAGGTCGTGGTACTTACCCGGATGGGCCTGCCCATTCGTGCAACAGCCGATGCTGCTGCGTGGCCCTACCACCGTTTGACCCTACTACCTACCTACCAACTAGGTTGTATACTCATGAACTGTGATAATTGGATAGTTTAAATTTACAAAAGTGATGGCAAAACTAAAAAACAGAATAAATTAAAAAATATTTAAGGAGGCTCCCGTACAACAAACGCGAGGCGGTAACTAGGCAAAAGTTGCTAGCTTGACGTAGAGAATGGTACGGGGCTCTTCGGGCGCAAGTCCGACTCGCACTTGGTCGTTTTTTTTTTTTTTTATCAAAGGTGGCAAATGATCAGGCTTTTCGCATTATGCTGCACACGATGAATATATCATATTCTCCTAGGATTACTATCACCATAGCATTCGTAGCGGTTAGTTCTTCGAGCTCGGAACGGGTCTTAGAAAAAATGATTCACTTAATTTTCTTTTAAAGAGAAGGCAAGTTAATCTGAGGATCCAGGTTAATCATCTGATTTTTTATTGTTACTCATATGGCACATGAAAGGTGTTATCGGTGGGTAGACATTCATTCAACAGCAAACAATGATACGTCTACCAAAGTAAAAATTACGAAAGAAATAGAAAAATGATGAAAACGTGTTCTACTTCATGGCCGCTTGTCAGCTACTATTGCACTATTACACAGAAGAGTGGTCACAAGGTCAAAAGTGGAAAAGTATTGAAGAGGTGAAACCTGTAAATAAGCTTTTTTAAAAACGATCGTTGCTGTAGCAAATAAAAATGCCACGAAGGCAAGAATAGGTAAACTGAAACGAATCACTTTATGAATGGAGAAAAAAAGTTTGGTCACGTTTAGAGAACTCATAACACGGAAAACAATTGGCGTTGGTAGATGGAGACCACCTAAATTATTGTGCTGCCCGTGCAGTTATAAATAGCACATTGAAATAAAATTAGTAATGCAGACCA